TACTTACTAGTGAAACGTTGGAATATTTCCACTATATCATTAGAGTCAGGATCAAACAGGAAAGCCTGCCATCACTTTTGTTACTAGGTGTTGATCTGGAGAGCCTGTGCAATTTCTGAATTTATTTTACATATTTATGTTATATTTTTATTGCTAATTATGGTTTTTATGATTAAAAGTAGATCTCTCTTATGGTGATGGGCATAAATGTGACAGATAAAATTCTAAGGTGGCTATGAAATGGAATTTAAAAAGAAAAATGAGTAAGTAGTATAAATATTAGCAAAGTTGGTTTTATTTGTATTGTTTGGTTTTATTTCTACCCACAGAACACTGATAAACTCTGCAGTGGGGTTTGCAACTGAAGGAATAGCTAAGGAAAATAAGTCTTATTTGTACTGTTTCATTTTTCCCCCAGGAAGAATGAATTCAAGAAATAACATGCATATTTGTACACTAATATTCATAGCAGCATTAGTCACAATAGACAAAAAAATGAAAACAATCCAAATGTCTATCAACAAATAAACTGACAAAACAATTGTGGTATATACAAAGGGAAATTATTTGGCCACAAAATGGAATGCAGTACTGATTCACGCCGCAGCATGAGTGAATCTTGAAACATTATGCCAAGTGAAAGAAGTCAGACACAAAAAGGACAAACGCTATCTGAGCCCATTTCTGTCAGGCACTTAGAGAAGTCAAAGTTGCAGAGACAGAAAGTAGAAGGGTGGTTGCTGGGGGCTGGACTAGGTGGGGATGGGGAATTAGTATTCCATGGTGCAGAGTTTCAGGGTGAGATGATGGCAAAGTTATAGAGCTGAAAGGTGGTAATGGCTGTACAGCAAGGGGAGTTAATGCCACTGAGCTATACACTTAAAATGGTTTAAAAGATAAATTTTAAGCTATGCATTGACTGCTTTACCACAAACAAAACTTTCAAGTGAAAAATAACAAGACAAGCAATTGTCAAATAACAGTAATACTAAATAAGGTACACTGAGCTAGTGCTGAAGGATCCCTTTCCATTAAAATATTTACATGCTGCGCAATAAAGTGTCAAAGAATGTAAATGTATAACTAAGCTTAAAATACAGAATGTACAATATACAAACACCACACACAAAGAGAGAACTATAATGGGAAAGGAAAGCAGAACCCAAGGGTCCCAAGTCCAAGGGATGGAGGCTTTAGAACTAGGGGCTAGGAAGTGAATTGTCAACACCACAGACTTGACTTCATCCTGGGGGTGGCAAAGAGCTGAAGTGGAGCTCCCTTTACATAGGGACCCCTGAAGGACTGTTTCATCCATAAAGGAACACACATGTGCAGAATTCCTTTGGGTCAGCAGCAAAGAAACCATCCACAGACAGTGAGAAAGAAAAAAGTCACACAGGAGTACTTAACACCCTAAACCTGTGCCACATATGGGTGTAGGGTCTAAATTTATAATACCCAAGGAGAGTAGAAACCCTAAACTGTAGAATTAGCCTACAAAAGATACAAAACGAAGGACATGCTGTAGCCCAGCAGAAAGAAACACAAGACCAATTCTGTGATGGAGGACATTCGCTCAGTGTGGGGCACCAGACCTTCCATGGGAAAGAAACGGGGGTGACCAAGATGCATTCACGATAAATAATGAAGAAACAAAACCGACAAGGTATGGTTAGCTTGCATACGCACACACTAGCCAGGATCAGCACTCTCAGAGCCAGTTATGAGAACAACCGGAGAGCGCCACGTGCCATCTGATGTATGATTTAACTAGTCAAGGAGAGAAAAGATGGACTCTGAAACACAATTCAGGTTTCAGAGGAAGAAGGTCAGCCCTATGGGGAATTTGTGTATCGTGAGGAGTCCCTATGACACCCAGGAAGGATGTTGCCAAAAATAAAGGCCTGGAGCCCAGGAGAGAGGTCTTTGCGAGAGGTATCTGAGGCGCCCATGCAGGAAATATGGCTGGCCAGAATATCAACCAGGAGAGGGTGCCCCTGAGGTGAGTCCTGTGTTTAATTTAAGAGCAGAGAACTTGAAGGAGGCAGAAGTGTCAGTTCTGTTTATACCACCAATTTGTATTGCAGCCTTTTGTGGCATAGGGTTTTCAGTATGTCCTCTCCCCCAAATATTCCCCAGAGCCTCCTCCGGGCCTTTGCTCAGCCTGTCTTATTGCAGAGTTACCTGGGCTCTGCAGAAGGCTCCTTGCAAAGTGACAATGCCACCCTACATCTTTACTTCCCCCACATCCGGCACTGGTCCAGGACTGGACCCCTGTGAGGGCTCCATAAAAGATCACTGAAATGAAAGAAATTAATCCTGAGTGTTCTGTCGTGTTGCAAGATTTCACATTAAGAATTCATGAGGAATGGGATAGAGAAGACCCTGAAAATCTGCTGGCTTGCTCTTCATCCTTTGTTCCTTGCCTCCTTTTTCCCTATTCTGTGCGAGGAGGACACAACATCAGCTCTTGGATTCAGGCAGGAATGGCCCTAATGCAATTGAGTATCAGCACCACAAAGCATCTTTTAGAGCTGCTCTTGTGCGAGATTGTTTGCTCTTCTCCTCCTCCTCCAGCACTGTAATTAACTGTTACTGAATGCATTTTGCAAGCATTGTCTCATTTCATTCCCATAACTTTTGTGCTAGTAGCCTAATCTGCAGATAAAGAGGAATGTGACTTTTCCTGGCCACAAAGCCACAGAGCTGCATGGCTGAAGCTGTAAAGCAAACCTCTCACCTTCCAAAGCTGCTGCTTCTGCCTCTCCCATGGCCTCCCCCTTCCACTTCCTTCTCTCCCTCCCTCTGGCCCTCCTAGCTCACAATGCCTCCCGCTCACCCCCTCCTGAGCTTACACTGTGTCTGAGTCAGATATTCCTCAGCAGACAAGTGGGGGTGGGAGCAAGAAGGGGATGGCCAGATGAGCGGTGAGCACAAATCTGGGTTTGTCTTTTTAAGGCACCGAGCATGGCCAGGGAGTGGGGTATAGAATCCACAGTCTCTTCAAGGGTTTGTGGGGTGAAGGAAAGAACAGGCCAATGACCCATTTACAAATACATGGCTAAGAAGAGGACACTGCCTCTGGATTGGTTTGGAGGCCAGATACCAGGCTGGCCCTTGGATGTGACAGTGGCTCAGGGTACCTTTCCTTATAAGACTCAGGGTTTCTTGGGCCTAAACTTTATGGGGCCCAAACTGTGCCAACACCCAGTGTAGTCTAGGAGGAGAGACCTTAGCCTAGGAGTCAGGAACCTAGGAGGACTGTGGGGAAAATGTAGCATCTCTTGAGTTCTTCATTTGTAAAATGGGAAAATCACCCCAGGCCTATCCATTTTTCAGAATAGGTGCTTTGGCATGGGGAGCACCCTCCTTCGGCAAGGAGGCAGGGCTGAGGGATAAGAAGTGGAGCACATGCTAGGGCATTATAGCCACCCTCTTGGGCTAGGCCAGGACCATCTTGTTCTCAGCTATCTTCTGGTAGTATAGCCTTGCCCAGCTAGCAACTCTGGCACAGACCATGACTGTGGAATGATGGAGCCAAGAAAGAAAGGAGAAGAGGAAATGAATGCTATGCTTTGGATGCAGTTGGTCCCAGAGGTTCATATGTTGGAAGTGTGGTCCCCAACATAACGATACTGAGGGACAGTAGGGCCCTTAAGAGGTGGGAACTAGTAGGAGGTGACTGACTCAGAACTTCCCTTGTGAAAAGATTGATGCTTGTCTTGTGGGGTGGGTTAGGTTTCAGAGGAGTAGGTAAGTTCCTATCAGAGCAGGTTATGATAAAGACAGGGAGCCTGGCCCCTCCCCGGTTTCCTACTTCCTTTCTTGCCTTGTAACCTCCTCTGCTCATACTGTTTGCCGCTTTCTCACCTGTTCCCATCCTATGACGCTACCTGCCAAGCTGTGGAGCAGACAGGGCCCCCCAACAGATGCCAGTATCATCCTGTTTGGATTTTCTAGCCACCAGAATCATGAACCAAACAAATTTTTTCCTTATACACTACCCAGTGTCAGGTATTCTGTCACAGCAACACTAGTAAGACAAGACCATGAGAGAAAAAAACAAAAGGAAGAAGAGTATTGCAGAGGGTATGGGGAAAATTGGCCCGAGGGTTACGAGTTAAAAAGTTAGTAACTAGATGGGGTTCTAGTTCAGCTCTGGTTCTCACTCCAATGCAACATTAATCAAATGCAGCCCTGTGAGGACCTCCTTAACTATATCCTCCACTTGACTTTCAAAGCCTAAGTCCATCACCTTGATCCTCTCTTCTGCCTCCTACTAAAAGCCTTGCCTCACTCCTCCATGCCAACAACCCTCAGCTTCAGCCTGGTGCCTAAGTCTTGGCAAACACTGTGCCCTGCATCACAAGGCAGAAGCCTCAGCTGAATCACCTGTGATCCCTCCTGCTAAGCACTTACCCACCACAGATGTTCTACACATTCGGTTGGTGATTTTTAAAATGGATAAATGGATAGATGGCTGGATGCCTAAAAACGATAAGCTTTATCTGCTGATGAAGTACCCGGCCCAAAGTCCCTTCATAAAAAGCTTTCACCAGATGACTATTCCTTGAACAGTTCAGTCAAAAGAAGTCCAGATCCTCACTGCTGTCCTTCTCCCCTTAGACCTCAGCTCCTGTCCCTGTTCAAAGGCTCCTCCAGGTGCCACCTCCCTTACCCAGCAGATTCCAACCCTACAGACCAGGCAGGGGAAGGAGCTTGGACCAGTACCTACCTTTAATTATCTATGATCCCAAGTGGTTATTCTGCAGGCAAAAGAAGCCCTGTAGAAATACCCTGAAGTTTTGCTACATAAAACCCCAAAGATGTCTCTAAAAGGGTTCCTGAAAGTGACAGAATTCAGGGATGCTGTGAAAGAAGGCACCCAGACAGATGGCTCTTCACAGAAGACTCAAGTCCAAGCCCCAGTTGGCAGCCCTACTCCCACTCTATAACACAGCTATGTGCACACCCTGGTCATGAGAGAGGCTGAATCTCACCTTGATGCTCATCTAGCTTCCCCATGGTCTCAATCTGTTCCACCAGGTCATTTGAATTCCACTGGCTCATTCCAATGAGGATGGCATTCTTCCCTTCTGCCATCTCCTCTGTGGGAAAAAACAGAGACGGGCATGAGCAGGCAGGGCTCTGTAGAGGTGGCCCTAACAGGAGCATGTGATGGCGGGGGACACTTATTTTGTCCATGAATTGAGGTAGACTTGAACTACTGAATGTGTATGTGGTTATAGATGGAAACTGCAGGACAGCATTGTTTTGTACTCTTCTAGGTCCCCACATGTTACAGCAAAGAAAATAGCAAGACAGCCATCATTAGAGATGCTGAAAACCCATAAAAGGCTCTCTATTCCTGCACCAAAAGTAATATTACTTGAAAGGCAGTGTATTTGAAAAAAAAAAAAAAAAGGGCAAACCTCCTCACTTGCCAGTGGTTTTTCTCTGGGAATGCTATCGGACTTCCCCAACTCTCAATTTTCCCATCAGTAAAACATGACTGGTAATGTCCAGCTCATAGAGTTGTGAGGTTTGTGGTAACGTCGTCATAGAGCTGTGAGGACTAAATGAGATAACAAGTATAAAAGTCTTAGTGCATATGAAGCGCTCATAGATAACCAGTGCAGTTATTTCTTCATATGGGAGGATGTGAGGGGATCTGGGTTTAAAGGATCAGCAGAAGCCATATTCCCAAACCACTATGAACACAAGTCCCTGGGTCCCCTACCCCCAACACACATATAGTGCAGTTCTACATCCTGAAAGGGATACTTCTTCAACAACAGACCCATAGTAATAAGTACTCGCCTCCTTGTCTCCATTCCCAGAGAGACAGGACTTCCAGGTGAAGAGCTCTCTGCCCTCCTTCAGAGAAAAGACATCAAGGGCATTGAGGTAGATCCAAAGTACATGAAAATTAAGAATAAATGATGAAGGGGCCGGGGATTTAGCTCAGTGGTTCCAGCACCTGCCTCGCAAGCACAAGGACTTGAGTTTGGCCCCCGGTACCAAAAAAAAGAAAGAAAGAAAAAAAAAAAGAATAAACGATGAAGCCAGGAGGCAGAAGCAGAAGGATTGCAAATTCAAGCCCCACCTGGGAAACTTAGTGACTTAGCAAAATATATCACGTACAGGTACAAATTCTAAAATGTACCAATAAAATGTAAAAAGAAAAAAGAAACTTAGTGACTTAACAAGATCCTGTCTCAGGATCTCTGTGAGTTTGAGACCAGCCTGGGCTACATAGTGAGTTCCAGGTCAGTCTCAACTTGAGACCCTGTCTCAAACCGCACCCCCCAAAAAAAAAACCTGTCTCAAACTAAAAATAAAAAGATCTGGCCACTCTTTTAAGATCATGACACACAGAATATTAACTATTGTTAGTCTCCAATTATTTCATTATGAAATTCTATTTTATTTTTTCATAGAAAAAGAGTATTTTTATATTTTCTTCATTAATATCTACTTGTGTTGCATTAAAATTACAAAATCATTTAAAGTTCTGGGAGCTCAGGGCAAATGCTCTGGGTTCAATCTTCTCTACTGCAAAAAAAAAAAAAGATAAAAAATAAAAAGGGCTAAGTGTATGACTCGATAGTAGAGAACTCTTGGGTTTGATCCCCAATTTAAATAAATAAATACAGAGGTGATGCCAGTTTTATTGGCAAAGAACTTTATCCAGCAGATGAGAGCTGCTGTCCAAAATTCTGATTTCACTCAAGTATTTTATCAACAGGTAATCCAGATCCCGTTCCTTGCTGACACCTCTTCCTGCCTTATTTTACTTACATGTTTCACTGATTTAACAATACTTATGAAACTTTACTACCCCGTGAGACTGGCATAAGTGACTTGTAAGTGTTAACTCAATGCTCTCAGGAATACTAAAAAAGGAAATTATTAGTGTCTACTTTATAGACAAGGAAACTGAGGCACAGAGTAGTCGAGTAATTCTTGCCCTAGAGCCAAGATTCAAACCCAGATGTTCTATTTCAAGAGTCTTGAAATCCTGCCTTCCTGAAAGCCTGCCTTGGACATCCTACACTGGCTGTTCGGCACTCCAACCAGGCACCACACATACACCTAGTTTCCTAAGCCTGAGATGCACAATCTGGGGACTAGTTTATACCTAGCAGTAGCTTTCTGTCCCCGTAAAAGCTTTGACCTAGTTCCAGTGCAGATTCTGTTACTGTTACCTGCAAGCTTTGTGCTCACATTCATCCACACCACTCTTTCTATTTTCTTATTCCTTAAATGGCAATAGCAACACTAGCATTCACTCTTTCTAGCAAGCTGCCATGGGGACAAATAACAAGCAAGTTCAAACAAAACCCAAAGTCAAAATGTGCACAAACATACAGTAGCATTGTTCTTGGGGAATCGGAATTGTAACGAGGCTAAAAGCTCAGTTTCAGTGCTAGATTAACTATTTTCAATCCCGAACCCACATCTGTCAGCTTTATAAACCTCAGTTTCCTCATCTCCAAGATGATATCAGAATTGTGCCTATGCCCAGGATAGCTGTAAGGATTAAATGAGAAGAGGCAGGTTACATGTTCACAACAGTGCCAAGCACACAGTGACAGCACAGATGGAGACAATGTCACATCAGGGTACCAGCATCACATTACTACCACCAGCAGCATGTGGATTTCACCCTAATGCTCTCCCTTGGTGCCGATGATGCCATTGTCTGGTCTATGACATTCTGTCCTAGTTCCAGAGGGGATAATCAGGATCAGTCTGAAACCTGCCTTGAGTTCTCTATCTCCTGATTCAGTTACTCAAGCAAGCAGCTCTCCAATCATTCATCCTAACGTCAGTTCTGTAGTGAATGGATTCCCCACCACCTACTATATGCCCTGTGAAACACGACCTCCGTCCTGGGGGAAGCCAGTCGGGTGAGAGAGACAGCAGCAAGTCACTCTGACATGGTAAGGTGAGAGAGCCAGGCTCCAGGTCCGGTGCTCAGTATGTAGTAGGAGCACACGCTGAGCACATGCTAGTTCCTGTTTTCTACAATGCAGTAAGTTCTTCCTAAGGGTAGATGAGGCAGTTGGAGCTCTGTAGGGGCTGCCAGGGCTCTGGAGCCCTGCTCATGCCTACTGCTGTGCACCTCGTCCCTCTCTCTTCCTAGTTCTGTGTATGGCCCAAATCCATCTCTCCATCTAGGTCTTTTGTCTGGCTTTCTATGAAATATCTCTTTCTCTCACAGACCCTCAGGGAAAGAAGCACTGCTCTACACACCTTGTGCCTGGTATCTCTGGGTCCTCTCTGTGGATTTGTCTCTCCTTTAGGCTCCCTGGCACCCTCTGCTGTACAAGCCCCTCTCTGGATGGCCTCGCTCGTGCCCCCAGCTCTCTCCTCATCCCTGTACCCCTCTCCTACCCTCTAAGTGGATGAGCCCCTTTTCTAATCCCTCTCACTCTCTTTGAGTTTCTCTTAGTCTGGGTCCCACTCTTTAGGATTCCCACCCCATGCAAGTCTTTCCTGCCCCTTCTGGCTTTGTTCCTCTCCCCTCTGCTCTGGGTCACTATCTCTCTTAACTCTCTGCCTCTCTCTTGGTGTGTGTGTGTGTGTGTGTGTGTGTGTGTGTGTGTGTGTGTGTGGCTGCGCTCTCACTCTTGCTCCCTCTCACTCTGCTCTGTCATATTTTTCCCAGCATTCTTCTTCTCCCGGCCCCAACACCTCATCCCCGTCTCTGCAGCTGCTCCTGCACCCCATCTCTCAGATATTCCTTCTCTCCCTCTCTAGGCCTCTCTCCTCTTCCTACTCTACACACTCAGCCTTCAGATCTTCACCCTGGCAGCAGAGATCTTACCCTCTGAGAACACACACACACACACACACACACACACACACACCCTGAGGCAGCAACCTACATGCCTCCTTTTTGGAGTCCTTCAGGCCCTATGGCTCAGCTCTGAGTCTCCATCTTTTTTCTCTCATTACAGTGCTACCTCCTCACGGGAACCACGGAAGCCAGAGAGGGTGCATCTGGACAACTGCTTTGCGTGCTGACTTTGCTCTTCATCCTCTGTAACTGTTCTCTGCAAGCTGCATTTCATTTCCCAGTGATGTCTGTTGTGAACATGGTTTTGGCATCTATGTCACTCCACTAAACCTCAGCCACCGACCAGACCAAGCTCTAGGTTGAGCTTGGTCACCCACCAACACCACAGACATGGCTTTGACCTCAACCTGACTCTGACCCTGGCTGAAGCCCGGGCCTACCCTTTAAGTATAACCTCCAGAGACCTGAGGAAATCCTTCCTCCTGCCCAGGGCCTCAGCTTCTATGGGATCTATAGAACTTGGAGAGTCACCTTGTCCTGTGCCAGAAGGCTTTACCTCCAGCACGTGGAGGCAAGGGCTTGGTCATCTCCTCCAGATGTTCCCTCCACTACCACCCATTATCGGGCCCACATACCGGGGCCTCTCTCTTCAAGGACCTCAGTGTATACCACTGTGGTGCCTTTGGGACAAAAGTACCTCTCTGCCCTGCACTAATGTTTACCACTCTCCCCTGTCCCCCAACTACAAGCCATCACCAGCACTCTCCCTCCATCACTTGTGGCCCCCACTTGGCCCATCCCCAGAAGCCTTTGGGGCTTCCCTTGGTGGAGGGGAAAGCAGCAGGGGACCAATGACATATTTGCAGCTTACTTCTATGATGACCCCGTTGCCCAGGAACAATCACCCAGCTTCCATAGTGGTTTCCTTCCTCTCCACTCATGAGACAAACCATTCTATCCTTTGCCATTTCCCAGAGAAGCTGAAGGCTCAAAAGCTTGACACTTGCTTGATGTCAGACAGCAGCCAGTCAATGGCACAACCTTGATGAAGACCTGGGTCCTCTGATCTCACTTCTTCTGCTCCTCTCCGCACTGCCTCCCCTGCCCCTTTGGAAGACCCGTGAAAAACTGTGATCACAGCAAAAGCCCCGGCCAGGAGGAAAAGGACTAGACCATCTTCCTTATTCTCTATGAGAGCCAACCTTGCCTTAGAGTCTTTGTCCATAAAGTGGGCAAATGGTGTAGATAGGATTATTTATCCCTTCACCACCTTCCTCTCTTGGTTGCTATGGGAAACCCGAGGTCGGTGCCATAGGCAAACTGTACAACCCAGCATCCAGCTCCACAGCCCCAGCCTCATACCTGGCAGGGGGAGAAGATAAGTTGGGACTAAACACTGAAAGCAGGAGAACAGAGAACACACAGGAAAGATGAGGGCAGAAGTTTCCCAGCCCACAGAGTCCCCCTGCCCCACTGGGAGAAGGAGTCCCATGCTTTGCTCTTGGTTAAACTACCCAGGGCTACATGTGCCTTGAAAAATAAACTCAGGATCCACTACCACCATCACTACCACCGCCACTCCCCATCACTGGCCCTACCAATGCTTTCCTCCCTGCAGCTGTCAGGTCTAGCCTGCTTACATATATTCACCAAGGGAGGGGTTCATTTAGATACTAAAGAGGAAAACCAAAAGAAAACAAGTATTCCCCCCCAAAGTGAGGGAACAAGCCTGGACACTGTGGCCAACAGGTCCTTGCAAAGACACTTGGGTGTGCCATGGAATGTTCGGAGCCATAAAGAGCCTTCAAGGTCAAGTCCAGCATCTTGTTGCAAAAGCACTGCTGCACCACTGGCCCATAGTAAGACAGAACCCCAGGGTGAGGACTGGACCAAGAATTCAGATCTCTTGTCTGCCAGTTTAAGGCACTTCCACTAAAACTATCTTTAAGTGGTTAAGTTCACAACATGGTACAAGATGTAGGCTGGTTTTAAAACTCTAGCTGGAGTATTCTATTTAAAAAGAAGATTAAAGTTAAGGATACATCTGATCTTTTCTTAAAGGAAGACACACTTTGCTATAGAAACAGACCATAAAGTGACCCATGCTTGACATATCCGACCACATCCCAAAAAAAGTCATTTGGCACCAAAGGGACCATTTATATCCAACTTTGCATCTTTTTAGGGATGCTGACTCCAAAGAACATTCACACTTTCTCTCTAGAGCTTAGCATCTCATGGGCAGGAACCCTGTGAAACCTGAGCTGCCCTAACAACAATTCAGCCTTCCTTCTTGGCCTACTAAGCTCCCCTTACCAGTGGGTTCCAGCTAGGCCACCTATCACCCAGAAGTCTTCATCACACACAATAAGAAGCTTGGTCACTCAAGGTCCAAGCATGGTTCCAACTGGCAGGTCCATCCTACACAAGAGATTCTGGGTTCTGAGACTCTGGCCTTTTCTAGGGTAGGGACAGGGCTGCTGTGAGCCAATCTCACAGAAAAGCACATCCGAGGATGCTGACGGCCTGCTGTGACCCAGGCTCCTGACCCAAGTCCAGACTACATCTCCCTGCTGGTAGAGTGATCCACAAACACTAAAGGGCTCCTCTTTGCCCACTCAGGCCACACCAGCCTTGCTCCTGTTTCCCAAAGACATCAAGCTCCTTCCTCCTGTAAACACTCGACCCCGGCTGTTCCCACTGTCCAGAGCACTCTCTCCCAGATCACTTACTGTTATTCAGTGCTCAGCCTAGGCCACATCCTCTGGGGACCTCCTACAATCACCCAACCTCTCTCTCTCTCTCTCTCTCTCTCTCTCTCTCTCTCTCTCTCTCTCTCTCTC